GCATTATTGTAAAATAAATTTTACGTTCCTAGACATGCTAATGAGCCATATATTCGGCATAATAATGAGCCTAAATATTTGGCAAAACATTCAAGTATTGTTCACTTCATTTATTTTTTTTTGAAAAAAATGTAACGAAAATGTGTTATATTTACGCAAAAACGATGCCCACAAAATACATTTTGTAATGCTCTAAAACGCTGAAAATGGCATTTTTAATGCTCTGAAATTCAAAATTTCTCAGGAGAGATAGCCTCAGACCCTCCCAGGTGCGGAGCGCCTCCGACGTTTTATGACTGATGTTTGAAAAATCCTAGATCCGCCCCTGTTTTGATGATGTTCACCTCGTATAGTTTGATGATACCCTTTTCAACTTACTATTGTTCATCAAAATGTCTTTCTGATCATTTTTCTATGTCAATTTGTTTTGTTTCTTCACTGATATAATACAGAAGTAATTTGAAATTATTATGATATTAGCGATGTAAATAACAAAGTGTTCTTAAACAAGTAAATTTGCAGTAATTTCCTATAAACGTCGTTGCAGATGACGTTTATGGGAGATTACTGCAGTACCTTCTCAATTTTCTGCCATTATAAAGCCAGTGTAATATACATATCAGTGGATGTGCTCTTGAGCGGTGACGAGGAACGCCATTTTGAGCTTTTGTTGCTTTCTTCGGAATAATACAAATAACCGATAATCACAGAGAGTTTTGTTCTCGGTTTTGTTTACAATTTCTCATTTATCATTTTATTCCCTCTATCAGTTGACTCTAGAGAATCGTTGGTGAGGCCAAGCCAAGATTTGCTTGTCAAAGAGCAATGTTAAAGAGCTATTTTATTCAAGGAATAAGCTTGCTACGTTTTGGTCATATTTGCTATGTCGATGGCTCATTCGGGCTTTGTGATCGAAGTTATACGGCATTTATATTTCTAATGCTTAAGATCGAAGACATTTAAGCGCTTGATACATGTCGTACTTTGTGCATTGAATGCAGTAAAATAATTTCGATGGGTGAATTGATTATAGAAGTAAACACGAGCTTCACTTGTAGGTTGGCGAACGAATTGTTGCATTCTTCACAAAACTTTATCACTCACTTTACATGAGTTTAGTCCATTTCAGGGCTTTTATTCGCGTTGTTTAACACTGATCGATTCTTTTATTATTGATTACAGTGGTTTGTTATGAAAGGCACAACGCAAATATTATCTGTGTTAATTTTTTCATAATGTCGTATAATAATTCATTAAACTACGAGAGTTTCGGGTGAAATCAGGATGGGAGAAAAAGTTTTTGCAGGATGAGACTGTACAACTCCGCTGATATTTTCATTCAAAATTTGTCATGTAAGGTATGGCGGCATCCGCTTAAGAAACTATAATAATTCTGATGAGATTTCCCGCGACGACTTAGCGATTTTTTTGCCTGTGTCTCTTAAATCCGTTGGAAGGATAAAGACGCTCATAAGACAAATTTACGGTGGCCGGTACGGGTCACCAGAAAAATAATTTAGAAACCATAACAAACAATAAGAAAACATCACTCAAAATCATACTACACATTTCAAAATACTCACTACACATTTCAAAATACTCGCTACACATTTCAAAATACTCACTACACATTTCAAAATACTCTACACATTTCAAAATACTCGCTACACATTTCAAAATACTCACTACACATTTCAAAATACTCACTACACATTTCAAAATACTCACTACACCTTTCAAAATACTCAGTACACATTTCAAAATTCTCGCTACACATTTCAAAATACTCACTACACATTTCAAAATTCTCGCTACACATTTCAACATACTCGCTACACATTTCAAAATACTCGCTACACATTTCAAAATACTCGCTACACATTCGTCCCAGTCTTACCCTGGTCTGGCCTGCCCACGGTCGTCATTAGTTTCCATCTACGAAACTGTCATGACATCATAAAGTAAGCATATTAAATATATAATTCCGCATTTCACAAGACAAACAAAATGGGACATTGGGATAATAGCATGAAAATATTGGCTGAACTCTAATCAGAAATTCTTCCAGGGTTTTGCTGGACTTGGTCGGGCAACAACATTAGTAGAAGATCTACATATCGCCAGCAAATGTATTTGCAGTGGCTTTCGACACATGTACGTACTTTAATAGCAAAAATTTGAGTATATGAATTTGCATTCGCTATGTCGCGTACGTACTTGTGTGATGCGTTACAAAAATAATAAGGAAACCAAAGAGGAAATTTGCACATAGCGCTATAATTTGTTGCACAAGAAACGCCAAAGAAAATAAAAAGTTCGGTAATATCGAGTAAAAGCAATAAATTTAGAACTTCAATACCAGTCACGTCAATAAGTGCATTAGTTAAACTAATGATTGTCGAATATCACCAATACAAATACAACTACATGCAATCTGTAGATTGACCACTCATGTTGTGTTGTCTAACCAAGACCAAGAAATCCCTGGAAGAATTGTTACTAATAGTTCATGTACGCGTATCGCGCATATTTTGATGCTATTGTGGCGATATGTTTGTCTATGTGCAGAATTCCACATAGACAACATATCGCCACAAAAGCATCAAAATATCCTTACGCGTACTGAACTTTTTTGTAATATCGGAAGCGTATATTTATATTAGCTTTCTGCCATCACGTCAATTTCGTATATGTAAAGTAATGACGACCGTGGGCAGGCCAGACCAGGGTAAGACTGGGACGAATGTGTAGTGAGTATTTTGAAATGTGTTGCGAGAATTTTGAAATGTGTAGCGAGAATTTGGAAATGTGTAGTGAGTATTTTGAAATGTGTAGCGAGTATTTTGAAATGTGTAGCGAGTATTTTGAAATGTGTAGCGAGTATTTTGAAATGTAGTGTATTTTAAATGTGTAGCGAGTATTTTGAAATGTGTAGTGAGTATTTTGAAATGTGTAGTATGATTTTGAGTGATGTTTTCTTATTGTTTGTTATGGTTTCTAAATTATTTTTCTGGTGACCCGTACCGGCCACCGTACAAATTAAATTTGCTTGGTCTTGAGTGAGACAAAATCTCTTTGAACTACTGGAATTTCATAACACGCTGTGAATAACAGATTGAAATCGCTCTTATGAGTCACATTTCGTGTCTTTTACGATTCACAATCGTCAAATCGTCAGTAAATTTGCAACAAATCCTTTAAACGCAAAACTGCGTAGATTGTTAAGCATTAATTGGTACTTGTTAATTTGTTTTGTTATTTGTCCTCTTAGGTTATTGTCGATTTCAGTTAACTTTTCAAATGGCGGTTGCCAAGTTACTTTCTAATGTTGCCAACTACATTTCCAAATATGGAATATTCGATATGAACTTGTCAACTTGAGTTGACAAGTTGTGTACTTGAGTACTGAAGTTGTGAACTAAAGTTGCGAAGTACTGGCAAACGCGAAAGGTCTTTGTAATCTGTAGACATTTGGCAATGAATCCGTTCAGTAAGCAAGGAAAAGCTTTACCAATAGAAGTAAGAAATGAAATACTTGAAAGGTGGTTAAATAACGATCGTTTGACAAACATTTCGAAACAAATAAATCTACCGTATAAGACTATATCAAATATAATAGATCTATGGGTAGACACTGGTTCTATGGCACCTCGCCAGAGCGAACGTGATGTTTGAACCGCGCGTACAGATGACGTTTTGCATACACTGAATATCTAAAAATTAATAAACCATCTATTTACGTAAAAGAGATTAGCAACACCTACAAAATAACAAAGTTTGCCTTGCAGCAAACATACCTAGCAGGTCATCCATTAGTAGAATCTTATAAAAAAATATTTGGTTACTCTTACAAGATAATAAGTCAAATTCCTCGAGAGACAGAACGGCCGGACGTTATGGAGAAGTTAGAAGCTTACGTAGCAAATATTTCATTGATTGATTGCAATCGTATGCATTTCTTTGATGAGTCGCCTGTAGTTGTTACGAGTGGCAACAGACGTCGAGGGCACAGTATGCAGGGTACTCCTGCATTTAAAATCCAACAATACTCTTCTAGTGCCACATTTACTGTAAATTTATTACTTAATGTAAACGGCGTATCGCATTATAACACTGTTAGAGGGCCGTCAAACGGATTAGAATTGCTAAAGCTTTTCCTTGCTTACTGAACGGATTCATTGCCAAATGTCTACAGGGTACATGACAGTCAATTGGTGGGTTTCGCAACTTTAGTTCACAACTTCAGTACTCAAGTACACAACTTCAGTACTCAAGTACACAACTTGTCAACTCAAGTTGACAAGTTCATATCGAATACTCCATATTTGCAAATATAGTTGGCATCATTAGAAAGTAGCTTGGCAACCGCCTTTTGAAAAGTTAACTGAAATCAACAATAATACTGTCTTGATCACAGTTTTGTAATTTGCTTACCTACTCATTGTCACATAACATAAAATGGCTGTGTTTTTCTTCCTCTATTTTGAACTGCATTTTGCCTTAAGGAAAATCCTCCGAATGTTTAATTCCCAATGGAAGTAACTATATTAACTACCAAATGCCTAGAATTTTTTGCTGACAAGGGGGCGGGCGCAGCACTTTCTTGCGGTAGAAACTTTTGGTATTATTCAATTGCTTATTCCTATTTCCATTAAATAAAACCATTGGATTATATAGTCATATGATCTGTTGTGAAATTGAGAATTGTGAAATTAATGCATTCTTTAGGTTATTATTTATGTTAGTTGCCAGTTTTGTTCTTCTAAACTTAATTAAATTTCATTTAAAAATGTTTAGACTAGATTGCTAAATACTAAGAATTTCAGTTAGCGAATTTTTACCTCCTGTGGTACCATTGTTTTTATGTTTTCACTTTTGACTTTCATAATCAATTCAAAAATCAAATTCCAGGGGCGGAGCTACGGTAGGTTGAAATAAATTACTGCGGCACATTTTGTAATATATATGTTTACATATCTAAGCACCTTAGCGACAAATCCATTGGTAAAATTGTATTCTTTAGAAATTTAAAACCAATAGTGTTTTTCTGAAAGTACTTTTAATTTAAAATCGAGCAGCGATAATTTATTTTGACAAGCGCTAGATCCGCTACAGTTAGAATCTATGACGACTCAGAAATTATCAACATCGAGCTAGGCGAAAATCGTCAATTGGAAAACTTGGAACAGAACAAAAGTCGTGAAATGGAAAACATGCAGCAGAACGAAAGTTGTCAAATGGAAAATGTTCATGACCTTCACGAGGAAAACGATGGTTCACGGTGTTGTTTTCCTTGTACATGGAGCCTTATAGGTTGAAGTTTCAATTTATAATCAAATCTTATTTGACATTTTATGATCGAAACAAAAACACCCACCGTTCATGTTTGGTGTAATATTATATTACCGATATGTAGATGCGAATATTTTTCATATCGCTAATGATATTTATTAAATTGTCTTTGTCCAAAAATTTGTATTTATGCTTCGTATAAATCGTTTTAATTTTATAAACTACGTATGTATGTATTGCTTTCAGATCGACAAAAACAAAAAAATGACTACATTTATCAAGAGGCAGCCATATATTTAGAGAAAGGCGAAGCCAATGAATTGTACCATGAATTCAACGACCATCTTGGCAAATATCGTTTTATGTGTTATCTAATTGTTCATTCAAAATTATACAAAATAGTGGACATTTTTACATCGGTGGGGCTTCTTGCACTTGCAGCTGTTGAACCGCCAGCAAAGTTTGGAATGACTATTGAAATATGGGTAACTGTTAGTAATAAATCTTTTATTATTTTTGAGTTATTTTTGCCATGCCAATGATAATCTTCATTCACATAAATAAATGAACCGGTTTTATTGAACCTTTATAAATGATAGTATAGGGGTTATATAAGGTGAAAAATTGGAGAGGATAATTGGTTTACTTCAGAATGTGTTTTCTATGCATGAAATTCAAGCTCAAATCTTTGTATATGTCATGAAGTTTTAAATCAATAGCTTGCATATAAAATGATAATATTTTCTATTTTGTAGATTCATGGAGTCCTTGAGATTGTCTTTCTATTCATAGTGTTCAGCATATTTGTCATCAAGATTAAATGGCAGGGAATTAAGTACTCAAAGACTCACAAACGGACTATTTTTAAGGTTTGCATATGACATTAATTCTGAAGGTGTCGACTACCTGATTTTTCGACGACCGTAGGGTCAGTCAACATCAACACTTACAGTCCTTCTCAGGACTCTACTCTACTAACATGTCACGGTACTCCTGGGTTCAAAACATTTTCTTACTAACCAATGAACTAAAATACATAGAACGCTACCTGTATAGAGAAGCCTCATAATTTTCTGAAGACAAATCTTACACCCAGACATAAGTGTTTAGTGTTTCGAGATTTTATCACGCAGTGACACTTGATTGAACTCTCGATTTACTTCGAGTCACGATGTAAACACGCAAGTCTGGGTGTAATCTTGCGTGTCTGGGTGTAAGATTTCGCTTCAGTTGGTGTAAGAGTTCGCTTGGAAGCACTCGCACTTCGTGTTCGTGCGTGCCACGCAATTTCTCGCTTTTCCCAAACTTTCTCGCGTGTTTAAATAACTCTATAGATTTATTTGTGAAAAAATATTCACCAATAACACAAGTGAAGTAGTTATGTCTTTAACTGATAAATTGCTTGCTGCTAAAGTAGCTAATAAAAACATAACTTGTTTTAGTCTTCATCATTGGTCAATGTTATTTATTACATAATTAAACATGTTAAATGAAAGACAGTATTTTTAAAACTTTTATTTGCAGTTGCAAACATATTTCGACATAACTATAAGTCATCTTTAGTGCGAGTGGATAAATTATTCACAGTGTGTATTATATAGGATAGAAATATGATATAACCTTTGGTTAAAACAAATACCTACAATTTCGTCTTAGCTAAAAGTTTATGTCCTGTACTCAACCTCCACATAGCTACCGGGTGCTTACATTACCAAAGACTCATTCTCCTTTCTTAACAAACTCACTAATTCGATATGCTGCAATGGACGTTTACTTGTATCCTTTTACATTATAAGCCTTTTCACCAATATTCCACTAGACGAAACTATTGAAATTACGGTAAACCTTATTCGCAGCACTCCTGTAAATTATTGAAATTACGGTAAACCTCATTCGCAGTGCTGTAAACCAGTACTTGCTGCAATGTTTCAGATGTGCATAAAATGAGCGATGTCATTGTTTTTCACAGTTTCCATAGTTGTATTTTTCATTTTAAAATACGTATTCAATAGTAAGCATCATAATTGACTGACTAAAGATCAAGCCCCATCTTCTTTAATGCTACAATATTTTCTACGAATATTTTTTCATGAAACAAAATCAAAAGTCTTGGCTAAAAACATGTTTTTTTACAAGTCTCGCATAACGTGCAACTTCGCGCAAGTACTACACGTAATTTGACCTCCAGATACGCGTGTCAAATTTGGCTTCAAAAAATTATTAGGTTTTCTATTACAGGTAGCTTTCCATCTATTTAGTTCAATGGGTTGAGCACAGATATGTTTTGCACAGGCTAATGCAAACACAGCTCTAGACCAGTCAGCGCACGCATTTCATTGTGTTTATTTTATAAATGATAATACTACATAATAATGGAGATACATTTGTTATTTTTCTACAATTTAGTTTCTATTCATTGTGATCATGACAGTTGAAGTAATAGTTGTTATGATACGAAATGACTCGCATTTTCGGGTAACTAGAGCACTACGTCCATTGTTTCTTCTCGACACCTACTATTTTTGTGGAGTACGCAGGTACATTAAAAATCATAAATAGATCAGGAGGTAGAATTTATTGCTTCAACAGACTTGTATGTTTTCAGAGTTTTGCGTACTATACTAAAGTCATTGGTTCCAGTTTTGGACATTTTTGCTTTACTCTTGTTCTTTATGATAATATTTTCCATTCTTGGTAAGACTTTTACTGTAAAATGGTATTTTTAAGTTATTCATTGGATGTATCATTTAGGCCCGTTAACAAAATGTAGTGATTTATATGTTTTACTAACTAATAGTTTATAACTTTATGTTCAATAGGTTTTTACTTTTTTTCAACTAATGAAGATGATCCAGTAAGAAATTTTATAATTGATTAATACTGGTATTATAATTAAGATGTATATTCTTCAACTTTATTGTTTTTATATTCATTTCTAGAATTTCAGTACAATTCATGAAAGTTTTATCAATCTATTTATACTTGTTACAACTGCCAAGTAAGCACCTTCATCACGATATTTTTTGTTACCAGACAGTGAATTAACATAGTTACTTCACAATTCAATATATACAACTTTTCAAGTAAACTATTTTGTTTAATTTTTAGTTTTCCTGATGTGATGATGCCAGCCTACCATAAAAACAAAGGATCTGCGTTTTTTTTCGTTATCTACATTTCCATTGCGCTTTATTTTCTAATGAATCTTGTAAGCATATGATCTTTGCAATAAAGCCCACAAAGTTCGTAAATTTCTGCCGCTCTGATAACTTTTTATTAAACCAGCTTAAATTTTGATTTCCTGACATATTCATGTGAATGAAAGCAGAGGCGTGACTAGAACGTTAATTAGGAGGGGGGTGTATATTCATATATTCCGTTGTGCCCGGCTGATTTCTTATGAAAGTATGATTGTCTCATTTATTGTTTTTAGGTTCTTGCCACAGTCTACTCAACATTTTCATTAAAAAATAAAAAGAAATTTAAAGACCTTTACTTTCACAAGCAGTATGAAGAATAACAGATAACATTTATAACAATTTATTTTGTCTTTATTCCGGCTATTTCTCTGTAATTATGATTTTAGGAAAGGTGTAGAACTGGCATTTAAGAAGATTAAAGAGATTGAACCGGTATTCTATGATTTTTTAAATTTTAGATAGAACTCACTGTAGTGATCATTAATTTGGACCTTGTACTTAAGCAGTTGAACTATATCATTAAATTTTGCCAGAACGGGGTCACAAAATGAAAAATTCCGTCGTCATATGACGTCATAAGTTTTCACAACGTTTAACTGAGTTGACTGATAAATGATAATGTATTATTTACAAGTTGTGTAAGTCATAACCCCATTTGATTAGTACCTTTAGGTCTAGAACAGATGTATCACAGTAATACTACACCCACTATACGTGACCAAGCTTAGCTGATTAAAAAGTTTAAAAACTGAAATTAACAAGAAAAAGAAATATTTTTAGCTTTTTGACGCTTTTGATGTTGTAAGGTTTTCATTACTCTATTTTTATCCAAATGGTATATTGCTTCAAGAAATAATATTTCGAAATGTTCAAGAACAGTTCTTTTTTTTCAAAGAATGAAGGTGGCATTGATTTAGTCAAATTTTGTGGACTAATGAAATATTTTAAACCTAGAATGTGTGAGTACTGTTTATATTCATAAGCATCTTTTGAATTTCTTTAACTTAGTGTTGCCACTTTTTCTTACAGCGCCTTTGAGTAAAAAACTCTTGTTTAAACATCTTGATAAAGGAAAAACTGGAAAATTAAAGTAATTTTAAACTTAAAATCTTTTGATCTTGTTATTGTATTTTATTATTTCATTTTATACTTAGTCTTGAGGAATTTCGTGGTATTTATGATGCAAGTAAACTTTCATGGCATTGTGTAAGAATGTAGACGTTTTTCTAATTTCAAATGTAAAATTACTAAAGCTTCTTTTAGTGTTTCTAATAGCTCGTTGGATTTCTCACATTCTTTTTTGTTAGATTGCAAATGACACATGGTTTGAGTTATATAATATGCCAGCAATTTGTCAAAAAATATTGAATGGTGAGGAATTTCGTCGTCTTGCCTTCAAATATTTTTGACTGACGAATAAATTTGAAATATTAATGATTTTTACTTTTATTAGGGATTCATTATTGTGTTACAAAAGAAGTCTCGTGCAATTTTCTCTTCGCGGAAAACAAGGTGCAGAGGAACGTTCGTAAATTCGAAAAAATTTCATTGGAATTGGAAATTCGTGGAATGGAAAATCTTCGTGACCAGCACGAAGAAAACGATGATTTAAAGTGTTTGTTTGCCCGTAAAGTCAGAGAGATACTTAAAGGCCACAATTGTTCCTTCAAGTTGTTTGACATTTTAATATGTTAGTACTAAAATCTTCTTCATTTCACTCAAAATAATGAATAGAATATTTTAACATTTCTTTCTCGACAGTTGCTGTCATTTTTGCTAATGGTTGTGTGGTCACTGTGGAAGTCATTATGCAGTCAAGTTAGTATTGTTTTATTGATACTTTATATTTTTAAATGGTTGCCTTGTATAACTAATATTGTCTTTTACGTTTTTTTAAACAGTCAAGGAACCATCTGAACGAAATCTTAGTGGAAGAAAATGGCATTCTCACGTTTTCACTTCAAGTATGAATGATTTTTCCTCGTGTTTTCCCTTCTGACTGGTTAAACGTTTTTACATGTTTGTAAATGTAGATTGTCCAGGATGGTATAGTCCTGAGAAGGACAGTTTTTGTTGTTGTTGACTGACGTTTCGACAACCTTAGAGGTAGTCATCTTCAGAGTCATTGTACAAAAGTACACACTACAAACAATTACATGAAACAACAATGGGCTTACCCGTTTCTGTTGTAGTTGCTGAAATTGTAATGCAATCTATAGAGGAACGAGCGCTCACGACTTGTAAACATACACTACCTTTTGGTTCCGCTACGTAGATGACACAATCACAGCACTACATGCAGACGAGATTGATGACTTTCACACTCACATTAACAAACAGAACAGCCACATACAATTTACCAAAAATGTGAAGAAACGGAACTCTTCCTTTTCTTGACTGTTTGGTAAAACATGACAATCAAAAACTACGAACAACAGTTTATCGCAAGCCAACACATACTGACCGACTACTAGACCAATCATCTTACCCTACATCACACAAAGCCACCACAATCAGAACATTAACAAGACGTGCACAAATCATATGTGATTCACCGGACACTCTACACAACGAAAACAACTATCTCAAACGTGATTTTGACGAAAACAACTATAACTCTGACTTTATCAACCCAACGAACCCAATGAAATGAACAAGGTATCAAGGGAAACAGCAACGATACCTTACATCAAAGGTATCTTTGAGACTATCTTTCGTATCTTACGACCATACAACATACGTGTCGCACATAAACCAATCACAACGTTGCGAAAAGTACTAATGAACATAAAGGACAAAGAACAACCCAACGAACGACAAGGTACAGTTTAGAAAATAAACTGCTCCGACTGCCACGCATCCTATATCAGGGAAACTGGCAGGAACTTAAACATAAGACTTACTGAACACAAACGAGCTACTAAAAAACAAGACAAAACTAATCATTGCTGAATATCACCGAATCACAAAGCACAACAATGACTGGGACTCGGCAAAATGCATTACTTACAGTACTGACTATAGACAACGGCTTACATTAGAAAGTTCGTATACCAACTTGGAATAAATCCCCCTGAACAGATCACAGCAATTACCGGCACCTTACAAACGACTTATTCACAATATATACGCTAGCTAAAAACATCACACCTAAATCACACATACCAATAAAAAACATTTCACTTCACACTAATTCACAATGACAATACACAATTGACACCCACAAATTTCCTGTACACACAATACAATGACGTAAAAACCAGATAACAAATACGGCTAACCTGACGTTAACCCCTCATTTGACTATGAAGATGACTACTGCTAAGGTTGTCGAAACGTTAGTCAACAACAACAAAAACAGTCCTTCTCAGGACTATACCAACCTGGACGATCTACATTTACAAACATGTAACGATACTTACGGGTTCAAACGATTTACATTAAAAGTTTTTGTTATAAAATTCTGCAGTTTATACTGTTGAGGCTTTATTGAAGTTACTTGCTTTTGGTATTCGTGGTTATTTTGATTCATTTTGGAATTGGTAAGCTCATACTGTCCTGTGTTCATTATACAACTTCCTATCTATATTCATATAAATTTAAATAATCTTAATAATCTTGGACTTTTTGCTGCACTTTCTGTAGGTTTGATTTATCAGTAACAATACTCAACATTTTGGAGAGTTTTGATACAGGGTTAACTTTCGCCATTTTCCTTCGACCAATTAGATTATTGCTGTGAGTATTTTGAATTAACCAATTAGATTTTTTATGAGAGATTCCCTTTTAATTTGCTATTTTTTCTATTTAGACTGTTCAAACTTTTTAAGACATATCGCGTCATCTTTGACAGTTTAAGAATTCTTTTACCAAGTTTGGTGAAGTAAGACTTTTATGGTATTTCATTCAAATCGTTTTTCCTTTCAACATAAGGTTTAATAAGTTCCTGTTTCTATTTTAGTTTAGGTATAGTTATTATACTGTTTTATTATTTTTTTGCCATCATTGGAATGGAAATATTTGCTGGTGTTGATTTGAAATCTTGCTGCAGGTAAATAAATGGCTACACTGCATGAATAAATTATCTTCAATAAGAAATTTTAATACTTTAATCTGACGGTAAGCGTACGTCATCTATATATGACATTTGACATCTTCATGTACAAACATGTAATCTAAGTAAGGTCAGTTTTCGATCAATTAGTGTCATAATTATGTACTGTTTACATTTGACGTGAGATGTTCAATGTAAACTAATAAAGAATTAAATTATTTTTGTATAAGTGAAGGTTGCACAGATATTTTGTGATTATTAACAATTCACGTCTTTTATGTAGAAACGATTCCATCCTGTATCAATATGAGGAAAATGGATATTACTACTTAAATAACTTCAACAATTTTTATCATTCTTTTGGTGCGTAAATATTTAATTCTACGGTACAGTAATGTAAACCTTTAATTGATCCCGTGTAAGGCAAGGTATTTTGTAAAAACCTTTTTATTGATTTGATTTTAGTCTTTTGAAATTCATAATCAATATAAATGTCAGAAGGGCATTTTTTACTACAAATCTTTACAAAAATGTTCATCGTTTTAAAATTCACGTGAAATTTACTTGCTATTGAATATAATATTCTTTTATATTCCAAGTTACCAAAATCTACCATTAAAATAAAATACTTGCCGAACACCAAGTACTATAACTCTGTCTAAAGTGTAGCGCAACATAACTTGAAAAAAACTATTCAAAATTATGAAGTTTTTTAATATTGTGTATTTTTTCTTATTTAATTATTTTCAGTGACTCTTTTTGAGTTAACAGCTGTCAATAATTGGCATGTTATTATGGTAACTATAAGCAATCCTTTATTTTTTCCAATAAAAAGTTTTCCTGTTTAACCACACATTTTAACTCCTAATTTTCAGGAAGGTTTTGCACAAGCTACAACGGAATGGAGTCGCATATTTTTCATGATATTTTACATCGTTATTTTGGTAAAGTACTTAAATGTGATCCTGTTCCGTTTAGCTTTTACTAAAAGGTAAAATAGTTTACTAGGAGTCTAGGGAATGGTAAGATTTTTTGCAGGAAACAGGGATGAGGTCATTTTCCTTATTTAAAGAATGCCGTTCGCTCGTTCTCTTGTGTTATAGCTACTTGATCCTCTCATTAAATGTATTACTTTAAGGCTGTAATGACGATCGTTGTTGCGTTTATCCTGGATGCATTCACTTTTTCTATTAAGTTTCAAAGCAAACATCAAAACGTGCGGAGTAAGTGGTGATAATGAACATCAATGATGAGATTGTTATTTAATGAATCATTGATTACTTTATGTTACAGGAAGTCAACATAAGATTAAGTGTGAAATAAGCCTTACTAAAGAAGAATTTGACGATCCTCGTTATTCCAGATTACAATCGGTAGGTGAAAAACTGATCATTTTTAAATGAAGTTTACAATTTTTATGCTTTACATTTTCCACAATATAGGAAACATTTAAGTTTGTTGGAAAACGTGTTTTGACTCGTGATGATCTGTATGAAAAAATGTACAGTGATGAACTGAAGGTTAAATTAATATCATCATGATCTCTCTTTTCCATTTGTATCCAACGCTTTCCATACTTATCTCTGTCTTTCTCTCTTTAAACAAGGCGGAATCCTGTTTAAAGAAGACAACTTCATGCCCAGCAGTCTTTGCGTGCCTCCAGTAACGTTGATGAAAACCCTCTGTTTTACATGTCGAGGAACACGCTTGACAAAATATACACTTTTTGATGTAAACTGTTTCTTTTTAAAGCAAGCAACCAACGCATACTTTTTAAACATTTAATGTTATAAGTTATTTTTGCTATTAAATGTAATTTAAGGTCATAATTTTTACTGAATATTAATGTAATAAGTCATAGGTTAACTTATTAAATCAACAGCAGTTTAGAAGTGCATTTAAATTAATATAAAGCATCATTTGATAACTAAACATTCCAAAAAATACTTTAATGACTATTTTGTGACAACTGTAAAGAATGATAGTCTTGAAATCAATAAAGTTAGAAAATTCGTATTTAATGATAAATTCATTCGTAAATGAATGAATATAATTATTTTAATTATTTACTAGATGGGTAGATTATATTTTTTACGGATTGTAGCATGCATATGGTAATATTTGCCTCTTTAGCCCAAAATTGTCGACCTGCTGTCAACCAATCGCACCAGTTTAACATTATTTAACATCAGAGTACTCTACTTAACAATGTTGGTTAATATTAAATGAAGATATGATCTTCGCACTTTGCTGGACAATTTAAGCAATCGTCTCAAGACCTGAAAAAATCAGGTGATTCAATGTTGTTTAAATCGTAGTCTCAATTGGAGTAATTTCAAAATTTTTCCCGCGAAAAACTGCGAAAAGCCCGTGTTACTGGCACGTGAGAGTAACACTTTATAACAGCACATGGCGCGTAACGTTAGTCATTAATGCAGTCTTGCCTATGCTACGTCCCAAATAATTTCTATATTTGGCAAGATCGTATTGTTTTCTTAAGACATTTGAAATGGCAAGTCTTGTTCTTGAAGATGGAACGGTTTTTAAAGGAAATGCGTTTGGCTCGTCGAGAAACTCGCCTGGAGAAGTTGGTGTGTAGTTAAATTAACTTGTGTTGTAATATCAGTATTATTCCTATTTTGAGCAAAGTGCTCCTTTAAAAGTTAAATCAACCATTGTATAGTTTAGGTTGTATGATTATAGCCTTCTTGACTCAGTGTATTGTTAAATTTACATTGCTTTCTCGTTTATGAATATTTGTACAAAAGTCTGATCACTCGCCTGTGATATTACAATTGGATTAACCTGAATTCTCATTATTTTGTCTATATTTCTCAAGTTTATGTAAACATGACTTCGTTTGCCTTTCGATTAATGTCACTAGTTTGAGTTTGAGCGTGTCCAACCTTATGCAATCGTCATTATCCTACCTTAACTAATCTATTAAATTATTGAAATATGAATGATTTTTTCATTTATAAATTCTGCCATTCATTACGTTTATATAAATGAAGAATGCTTTTGAAAGGGAAAGAAGATTGATTATTAACTCAGACTTGCTCACAACTCATTTCCCAAAAACTAAAACTAGGCAAAAGTTCCCTCTTGTCTCGAAAATCGCCTGACTGATCAAAGCACCATACATTTTTTGAATAATTAACCATATTATTAAAAGACAGGATTTATTCTTGGATTCATTCAGTTGTGAGCAGATTCAAAACTGTTTTACTATACACGCAAAATATATCTAGTTAAACACTTTGCCTGTATAGTGAAATGGTGAATGTGGGAGTCTGTTTAGGAGTGTGCATCGAAAAAATATTTGTGTGTTGTTGTATGCCATTGAACAGACTTTTGTATTCTTTTTATTAAATGGTTAAAGATCACAACTTCAGCCCACGATTCTTTTTGTTCTCAATCATTTTTTGGACCTTACTTTATTCCATGTACATATTTAATAAAAGCTGAGGCTGTCACACCCCCACACCTCCCAAATATTCGCCCCTAAGTCATCTGCTACCTTTTTCAGTCTCATGTTATATGATATGACAGTTTGAGTTCCTTTGAACATGGCATAAAGGATATTCAAGTTTGCCAATAAGAAGTTTCCCAATTAAATTTCATTGCGTTTCACGATTTTCAAACATATCCTGCAAGGGCCAAAGGGGGTTGAATCCTAGGTTCAATTCAAGATGATTTTGTAGATGTGGTGCTTTAGTTTTTATAAAATTTCGATTTTGGAAGTGCGCTCAATGAAAAACGTATTAAAATTTCTTTTTCTTAATTGTTTGGCATATTTGCATTTCAGAAATCGACAGTGTTGCCAGTGGTGAAGCCAGCCCGATCTTTCACTCTTACAATGCAATTTTTTCTGCAAAATTAATTTTCATTTCATCAAAAAATTAAATTGATTCATTGCTGTTCCAATGACCTAACACAAAAAGCCTTGCATTGTAGAAGTAAGAAACAGGCTGGCTTTGAAACTGACTTTTACACCCGTCAAGCCTAGGCTAGATGAGTGCCCTCCTTGTAAATCAACTCTTGGTTCAATATGATTACTTTTTTGAAATCTAGTTTTTCAAACTGGTATGGTTGGCTATCCAGAATCTTTGACAGATCCATCATATCGTTCGCAAATCCTTGTCCTTACCTATCCTCTTGTTGGAAACTATGGTATTCCAGATGGCATTGTGGATGAATATGGGATCATCGAATCATTTGAATCAAAGAAACTCTGGTTGTCAGGATTGATCATTGGCGATGATGTTGAGGATTACAGCCATTGGAGTGCTAAAAAATCTCTCTCAGAATGGCTCAAGGAGTATAATATCCCTGGGATTCATGCTGACCTAAAAATTCAATTTCCATAACATTTGACAATACTCCTAGCTTAAACTAATTTGTTTTATGAAAAGGTATCGTTTAGGAAAAGATATGCTATTGATTGACGACACAGTTAACGTATTAATTCCTTTGAGAGCATGACTTCAAATGTCAGTAATCCTGTTAATCAAGAAGTTAAATATTTCGTCTTTCAAAAGGTCAATAGTTCCTTCACAAGTGTCACAATTAGACATTAATGTTGTTGTTATTCCCAGATCAAAACGCATATGCATTAATTAAGACCTTACAAAAGTAGAATATTTCTTGTATGTTAGGTAAGTTTATCTGAACACGCATGATATATATTTCAAAATTTAGATCGCCCGGGTTAGTGAAGTACTGAGAATGACTGTTGGTGTTGATGTCAACTGACGTTTTGACAACCTTAGTGGTAGTCATTTTAAGAGTCTAGTGACAGAAGATGTTGTCCATTTTGTTGTGTCTTACTCACAAAAATTGACGTTTTCAATGTTCTTTTAAAAGGTGGTACAAGAAATAGATAAAATATTACATCCAATACTCCTAATTCAAACTTGAATAGACATATTAAAATGATGCAACACATCATACAAGTAATTTCAAAATGGTTTCACGAAGGCTGAGAGAATTACCCATAAACAAAATTATTAAATATGGAAAATTTAAGGCTAAGTGACATGTTTGCCACCAAGATTTATGTTTTCCACCGAGATGATATCTCTATCATGACTAAACAAAAAATTAGAAGCTATTTTCTTTCCTTCTCGTCTAAACTACAATGACCAAGCCTAATGAGTCAAATTTTTATAATTTCAGTTCTAATCACCGGTTTCCATACGCAAGTTTATTTATCACCTCATCAAAAGTAGGCTCTACTCCTGATGGATTCGCATTAGTGCAAGTCCATTTAAGCGTTCTTCAAACATCGTACTTTTTTTGTAAGTTTTAAGCATGCGAAGTGCTGAAATAGAGCGTTCGCACTCTCAAGAAGTAACTGGAAGAGTGGCTAGTAACCGTAGACATGCCTTAAAATTCTCAAAACCTTAAACCATAAAGTTTTAAGTGTGAAAGCTGCAGTGTCCGGTAATGATCCCTCATATGTTGTCCAAAACTTTTCCCATAATTCCAATTCAGCATATAATAGTAAGGGATTAGGAAGATCGTCTTTGTAAAAATCAGAAACTAACAAAAATTCTCTTTCCAAATTTGTTGTTTGGTGAAAGACTATTAAAAAGCGAAATCATTTTATATGGAACAATGCTAAAGCCGTAATAAACGTTGATTTGGCAAAAATCAAATCTTGCCTGAAGATCAGAGTTTAAGTGGTCTAGAAAAGGAATAGTGAGAGCCTTTTTGTGATCATCTGACGCGCTAGAAGATAGGTGATTCTCATCGTGCACTTGTCTGCCAGCTGTTCTGGGCATTTTTTCATCCACATCAGCTAAAGAAACTGCTTCACTATGCCATTTACCATGATATAAATCAACATCATTCCTCAATAAAATTCCCAAGTTTTTAAATGACTCAATTAAATGCATTCCATCCATAACATCACAGGGTTTAGATTGTAATAACTTAGGAACAGGAAGTGTCAAATCTAAAATATTTCTACTAATGACAAGGTTAACAAAAAAATCTGAGCGTGGAAATCAATGCTAGGAAAGAAGAAGCTTTAGAAGATGTTTCTAGATTACACACATAACCAGCATTTTGGTACAGCATTATGAAAAATTGGAAGGAATAATTCTTGAAATGTATCTAAACCATCTATTCGCTCAATCCATCCAGTTCGACAAACATCCTTTAACTTTAATTAACCTAAATGTGGGAAATAGTCTTCAACTGCTTTTGAAAGTAACATTTGCCATCCATCAGAGAGATCGAAAAAGTAAGAAAGTTCTTTAATTTGACTAAAAACATTTCTGACAAAGGTGACAGAACATGAATTGCATATTGCAAGATTTAACCTATGGCTGTAACAGTAGGTGTAGATTGCTTTAGCGTTCAAACGAAGAATGCGTTTTGAAAGACCATTGATATGTTCTGCAACAGCCCCAGTTTGCCCCCACTAAAATATTATGTTTTACTTACATTACAATATTCAAACTAAAGTCATGGCTCACCAGCCCTATTAACACCCGCCGTCCTTCCCCCTCCTCCCCTTTCCCCCCTCCCTCCTCCCTAGTGACAGAAAATCCTAGCTGCGCCACTGAACAGTCAAGTACAATAAACGAAGGAATGATTAGTTAGAACTGCAAAGATGATTCTTTCTTACTAAGTTGTGACTTTATGAGTGCGGAGACTGCTGTCTGACATTGTACATGTATATAAAACTAATTAATATAACTTTAAAAACGGACAATCTTTTTATTGAACATCATATATTGAACATTTACTGAGCCGTTTTGTTTGGTTAATTGACTTCGGCAATAAAAACAAAACTTGTGTGGACAAAATACTATTTTTAGGCAATTCCAAAATGAAAAAATTTTACTTACAGCACGCAAATAATACGATTTGAAAGCGTCTGTATTAAAAGTACCCATTTTGATGTTTCTTATGCATAATAGGAAAGCTGAAGGCCGAAGCCGACGTGCATTAAAATCTTCATCTGCGATTTCATGACAAAAATCTCAATGAGAACGGATATGGTCTTTTACATTCGGGAAACCCTTGTCGATTGCTGTCTTGTTGTGATGAACAAACGTGTTAGACACATGACGAAGATCAGGAAAATGGGTACGTCATAAAGTCGTTCATGTTATGTACATTTTGCATGCTGCTGGGATTTCAAGATCTGCGTGCCCCCATCTCTCCCCTTCCCACCCCCCACATTTTCCATGGAGAAGCAATAGATTGAGCAAACGTTTAGTGTCTCACATTAAGAATATGATTTAATGTTACCCCTCCGCTATTTTCGAACATGCTCCGCCGTCCTTTAGCTGTACCAAGAAAATAAGTCAATATTCAACCTCCCCCCCCCTAATGGATTTTATCACTATCTTAACCAACCAGTATGCAAGAAATAACAATTTTACCAAAAACAATGATATCAACTGTTGGGTGAAGAGGAAGATGGCATTTTGACATATTTTTACGCATTGGACGAAGTGAAGTTGATGTGCACTTCTAAGGAGAACAAAGGAAGACTTAAACTTGTATGCGCTGCGGTGAGGTACTGGTCAGTGAAAGATAATTTACAGAACCAACAATTTTCGTTAAGAATTGTTACCATGGAAACATTGTATCATATATGAGAACTCTCGATTACAGTCCCATCGTTTGTCTTAAATCGTCTTCCAGTATCTCGGACTACAATCTTCTAAAGTTGTGCGACACAAATGACATGCAATGCTACAAAAACAAATTTCATTATAAATAACTGATTTATCAACAGCCGTATAGCAACAAAAATTTCACACCGAATTTGTGGCGCACGACTGTATTTAAATAAAAATAGTTCGTTTAAAACATTTGTGTCATTTTATATCTGCTCTAATAAAGTACAAATACAATATTTACAAGTGTTTTCCAAGCATATGTTTGGTATCAATTAACAAATTCAGTTTTAAGGACCGGTTAATATGTGGTAGAACAGCCCCCCCTAGCAGGGATGACTTTTCTTGCCAAGCTGCGTTTTGAGTCTCTTTCATATAAAGTCATCACGCTTATGATAATAATCATAATCCAGTCTTAATCCAAAATACTTTCCTGTTTTTAGCCATTTTATTTATCAGGAACATATTGTGGAAAAGTTGCACCCATCTGTTAAAACAGAAGGATAGTTCAAGATGTCGAACGAGAACATGATATTGTTCTTTGAGCCTCTTTCTCATGGTACTCAAAATCTTTTGCAGCTTCTTCCAATTCATTTAATACATTCTCATTCTTTCACGCTATTTTTAGTAAGGAGTTCATGTCACGTGTCCGCTGTGTTGTTGTTGTTATCCCGGCTTACTGGGACAAAATGGGGAATTTTTGTTTAAATAGAATATTTTCATCCCACTTGACTAAGGTCCCGGCTTGCTCATGAACTGGACTGGCTCACATCCATATGAACACTTAACAGATATAACAATAAAAAATGTCTTATTTTTTTATTTAAACCATTGAGTTCTATAATAACTGGAGCGGCTATCTCAAACGCGGCTTTAGATATCGGATGTTGTAAAAAAACATGGCTGATTTCGTCCTCTGCCGCAGAGATTTATCGAAATTGACTGCTTTTCCGAAAATTTTATAATTTTTCACTCCTCCCCGAAGAGAGAGCGAGGAAAAACTATGTATGTATTTGGTTTCAGGTTAGTAACTGTTTGATGAAAATCAAGGTAAAAACCTGAAATTGATAACAGCGAGTCAACTGTGGTTATCAGTTATCGGCTCCTTTGAGGATTCTTTTTATAACTATCGACGAAGGGAGCTATTTATCGGCTTTATATGAATGCAGATGTGCGTCGTTTTGTTACCAGCGTCAAACTTGTTTGCTCGATTAAAGTCTTTAGTTTATATAAAAAAAGTATATCATTGCTTATCTCCAAGTTCATGCAATGGGCATTGGCCTTTTCTCTACAATTGTAGGATTAGTACTTGTTTCGTTATAAAGATGAATAATAAATCTATGGACATTTACGGCTTGACTTAATGTATATGATTTTCTGTAATTGAATTTTTATTGAATTTCAAAAAGACCAAAGTTTGCATAAGTGTGATGAAAGAAAACATGTAATATTGTATAGAAATCACTAAGTAACCTTTTATTTTGTTCTGAAATGGAACTGCGTCAAATACTTAATTGTAAAGTTGTGGCACATTTTGATTTTGTTGTATTAATATATGAACTGGGCAAATGCGAATAATCATGAAAACATTGTTCTTGCAATGGTGTTTTTTTAATTCAATTGTTTTTTTAATACTTCTATCCTTCTTTTTTCTTTGTTTTGTCTTTCCTATATTTGTAATGTAAATCCATTTTCCACCTCAATAATAATTTTCATATGCAGTTGCCAGTGGATTTTGTTCTCTGAGTATCCACATCTGGTGTTAAGTTCAAACAAGGATTATGAAGAGCATGTAGATATGTTAAAGGTGTGCAATAAAACCAAATGAATAAAACGCATTTTGTATACTTTTATTGTAAAAAAGGCTTTTAGAAATCATAAAGTTATTAAATTATACTACCTCTATGAAAAGAAATAAGAAGCAAGAAATTGAAGAAAAGCTTTGAAAACTCAAAAAAAGCTTCCTTTAAAAAAAGCAACAAATAATGCACATGACAAATGTCCATTCTGTACTCTAAGTGATAAATAAGCTTAAACTGTTTTTTCAAGCAAAAACTAAAACAATAAAGAAATACATTCTAACTTTAAAGGTTTCATCACTGAATCTTTAATGCATCAATATAGCATGCATTAATTATTAGAATTATTCAAACAACACTGGACTAAAAAAAATTTGATAAAGATATGACAGTTTCACATATGCACCGAGTCTTCATTCATCTCAGTACTAATGCTTGCATAAACAAAAATTTTATAACCACCCAT